GTGTTTTTTTTGTTTTTTGGGGGGGGGGGGGTAGGAGGGCTGAATCAAAAGAATAGTATAATGTTTTCTAAGTGATAAGAAGTTTTATTCACATGGGGACACATCATTCTTATTAGACTGAATCAAATGCTTGTGAAGTTGAGTCTGATCCATGTTCTGAAAACCACTACTTGGCACTGGGCATGCTTAGGAACTTAATTGAACGTTTTACATGGTCAGTTCCATATAATATTCTGGGCCACAGATATCTAAATGATTGACCAAAGTCCCATCATGAAGACAGTGGTCAGCAACTTTCCCCCTTGCATCATGGAACTTTCTAAAATAAAGGTAAAGCTCATCTTGGCAGAAGACAAAGCCGCCTTGTTGTGGAAAGAATGCCCAGTGCAAAGACTGTGGAAAGAATTCCCAGTAGTAATGAGCTACTGCACAGTTCTAGCAAGCTACTGAGAAGTCAGCATCACCAAAAAGACATTCGGGGATGCTACTGTGCAGTATCTCTGGTTACTGTGCAGTCATTTATACTTTTATATGCAAGTACTAACTGTCTGCACAGTAACAACTGCACAATCAGTATCGCATGCAGACACGGCCAGTATATCTGATTGTAGAAAAGACGTGTTTTCTGTTGCAAAGGGAGAGGAGTCTAATAAAGATCAGAGATCTATACCTGCTATTATGTAGGCATATCTACATGTGCATTTAATGGGACTGAATGTACTCTGGCTCAAACTGAACCAGAGTAAACTAATCCTGATGTTACTGTCTACACATCCATTTAAGTGCAGTAATTTACTGTGCTGCCAGATACCAGTTGCATCTGACTGGAATATTTGGCTGTGCAGTAAATTAGCCTACTGCACCCTAATTGCCATGCATGTGTAGATAGTGATGCTTTACTGTGCAACAAATTAGTCTGCTGCACAGTAAAGCATCTTGTGTAGACGTGCCTTGTCTTCTGCCCATGACATAGCAGATAAATTTTAGAGGATTATAATATCCTTTTTATTTATATGTTAATCAGGTAGTGGCTAGTGATCCCCCTCCTCTTAATACTGATTTAATTTAACAGTATGGGCTTCACAATGAGTCCCATTCAGACCTTTTTTGGTCACTGCAACACGGAGCCTTGGGGGCTTGTGTTCCCACAGAAGAGGGAGAAGTCCTTAGGCTCTAAAGTCAGTAAGGGTGATGACTATCTTGACTACAAAAAGAAAAAAAATTGCAATAGATCCAAAGAACACAGACCCCTGGACAATTTTTGCAGGGATTGATACATGTGGAACTTCATTCATTTCTATAGGGTTCTGTAGGTACAGGCTGTGGTAGAATATGCATCAATTACATTAGCTACTGTTCCAAAAACTGTGTAGAAGAGTCAGCATGCATAAAAGTGACTGAAATGTGGTTAGTTTCCAAAAATGATATTCAAGTATATGACATGGAAAGAAAAGAAGTACTTTTGCATTCTATTTTGATACATATTTCATAGATTTTAAAGCCAGAAGGCACCAGACTAGAAAAAAAACCCTGATGTGGCCGCCCAAGCATGCTCAGCTATATCACAGTCCATTTCTTTTCCTCATCACTTAGACTACAGAAGACATTGAAACAGTAATCTTGGTCTTAGCCATACTAGGTGGCTGAGTCAGTGGTACAAAAAAAAAGTGTTCCAAATTCACAAGCTTTGCTAGAATATAAATGGACTGGTATAAAAAAGTTGACAGGATTTGACATGAGATATTTATTTGGTTTTTTGGTTTTTTGTTTGTTTTACAGACTGCAAAAGAATACAACGTTTAGATATTGTGTTTGTCATAGACGGTTCTGGAAGCATAGATGAAACAGAATACAAGACCATGAAAGACTTCATGATTTCCTTGGTGAGAAAGTCTGATGTTGGCCCAGACGGAGTTCAGTTTGGAGCTGTAAAATATTCTGATGACCCAACAACAAATTTTTACCTTAATACATACAGTACAAAATCTGAAATTATTAAAGCTATCCAGGACGACGAACGTATAGGAGGTGCGACATACACTGCCAGTGCACTTAAGCATTCACACACTCTGTTCATTAAGGTACGCGGCAGTCGCATGAACGAGGGAGTTCCACAGGTTCTTATAGTGATAACTGATGGCGAATCGAATGATAAGCAAGAACTTCCTGATGAAGCCCAGAAATTAAGGGACAAAGGCATTATTATCTATGCAGTTGGAATAGAAGCAGCAAATTATGACGAACTTTTGATGATGGCAGGAGTGGAAAACAAATGCTTCTATGTGGATACATTTGATGGGCTCAAAGACATATCCTTCAATTTATCAAAAGAAGTATGTGATGATACAAAACCACGTAAGTGTTTACTATTCTATTCATGGTAGACTTTTCTTATCATTTTATAACAAAGATAAGATGCATGCCTTGAATATTAAAATCACTTGCCAATTTGGCTAGAATGAATAGCTATCTTTGGTATTCTTTTCTTGTTTAACAAATGTATTCTGGGCAAAAAGGAAAGTTTTTGTTTTACATACATAATTGTATCTATAGTTGTTTTGTTCAATTGCTTTACTCATTGGGGAACAATTATCCACATTACAAAGCACTATATCATATTGCAAAGAGACAAGCCCTAACTTCCACTTGCTCTCCATTGGACCTAAGACCACATGCTAGGAATGAGTCTGGGACAGCTTCATTGGGGCTCTTTCAGGCTGGCGTAATGGCTGTGAACTCAGGTGGGTGGGGCGTGCTGTAGCCCCATAGCCTGATAAGGTTACCATGGAATTGGGAATTCCAGCTTGGTAGTATTTTCATACCCACTTTACTCACTTTCACAATAGCCCATGTGAACAGTTTTCAGCCTTTGGGTTTTTTTGTGAATTGTTTGCTTTTTTCTGTTCATTATGACTGGGTACAGATATTTCGGGAGGTTAGATCAAGTTTAAAATAACCACCCGATCTAAGGTAAGTCAGGATGAGGGGCAATAGTGGGGGGGGGGGGGCAAGCAAGCTTGGGCGAGTGATCAGGGGGTCCACAGGAAGATCAGGGGAGCAGGTGGGGTCTGCAGAGTAATTGGGGGGCAGACGGGGTCCATGGTGGGGATCAGAGGGGCAGGATGAGTCTGCAGGGAGGATCAGGGGGTCGGTGGGGTCTGCAGTGGGGTTTCTGGGGTCCAGAAGGTTTTGGCAGGATCATAGGGGCTCCCGGAGGGATTTGGAGGGATGGGTGACTCTCTTCCCTACCCCTTGGGCCCAGGGGCTATTTTTACCCTCCATGACCCTGCCACCCCCAAACATACAACTTCCCTGGTGAACCTACCCCTCGATCCTGCCTGCCTCTCTCCCCGCTCCAACTTACTTCCTCGGTTCCTGGCACTGGTGAATGCTGAAAAAACTAGCACTGGGAATAGCTTGGAGGATGGGGGGAGGGAGGGGTTGTGGAGCGGGGGAAGTTGTCCTTTGTGGGAGCAGCAAAAAATAGCCCAGTGCCAAGGATGGGGGAGGAAAATCACAGCCCTGGGGCTAGGGCAACAGCTGGACTTTCCTAGCGCTGGGGCTGCATTATGAACTGTGCAGAAATTCAGTTAGATCAGACATGCTGGACCTGAGCTAAGTTAGACCGCCTTGGAGGTGCAGTTAACTAAGATTGGGTCAGCCATTTTTAGACAGATCTAACTGTCCTGAACTTCTGTACAGTTCACATGCAGTGCCACCTATCTAGTGTAAAGTCCACACGTGCTGTTGTGTTCATTGTGTAAATCACATGATATTATATCTACTCCATGGATTGGGCAGCTAACTTTTTAACAGAAGCATAAACAATGGCAAATAGTAAGTAATGAATGACAAAGGAGGTACTTCTGGTAAATCTGATGGGACCACTGGACTACTATTGTCCGGCGATCTCTTTGGATATTCAGGAATATGACAGGTGTAAAACAATTCAGAGGCAGGCACTCTGGATGTTTCAGTAGCTAGCTTCAATGGCACCTGATAAGTCTGTATAAACATTTAGACACTGTCTCAGTCAGAAGATAATTTACTAGGACTAGGTCAATCAGGCCTTTTTTGCAGCACTTCAGTCAGTTACCATGGAAATTTCTAACTGCCATAGAGGCAATCCGAAGGAAGTTCAGGGCTCCTGAAACCTCCTGCTTGTTGTATCTTTTGAATCCACCCAACTACTTGAGGGCAAACTGCATAGCATCTGTATGTTCTGTTGGTCTTAGCAAAAATGTTCGTGTCACTGCTGCTGAAATTCCCTCCAAGTTCCTCTCTATTCAGTGTAGGTGCAGAATCCCCTTTGCTTCTCCCTGTATGTTCTGTGTGGCTTATAACACCCTTCTTTGAAAGGGTTTCTGCCCCTCTCACTCTGGCCATGATTGAGATTGCAGCCTTGAAGTGTTGCATGTATTTGCTACCTCAGATCCCAGCATTGTATACATATAGAGGAGGTTTTTGTATTCCCCATGTACACTGCTTTGCACTTATCAACACTGAAGTCCGTCTGCCACTTCTTTGCTCGCTCATTTAGTTTTGTGAGACATCACTGCAGCTCGCCCCCCACCATCTTGACCATCTGGAATAATTTAGTATCATCTGAGAACTTCCTGATTTGACTATGCACTCCCTGTTCCAGGTCATTTATGAAAATATTGAACAAAACCTGACCCATCACAGATCTCTGAGCAGCTCCATTATTGACCTTCCTCTACCCCCCAAAATTATTATTTTTAACCCTATCTTTTGTGTCTTGTCTTTTAACTAGCTTTCAATCCACAAAAGAACCTATACTCCAAACCCATAACAACTAAATTCTTTAAAGAGCCTTTCTTGAGGAACCTTGTCTAAAGCTTTTTTGAAACTCTAAATACATACTGTCAACTGGAATTCCTTGCCCATGAATTTATTAACACACTCAAATAATTCCAGTAGATTGGTAAAACAGGATTTCCCTTTACAAATACCAGGCTGACTCTTCCCTAATAGATCGTATTTGTTCAAGTGACTACTGATTTTATTTTTATTATAGATTCTACCAATTTGCCAGGGATAGAAGTGTGACTGACTGCTTTGTAGTTCCCAGGATCACCTCTGACACCCATTGAGAGGCAAATATTTTGTTGGCACAAGCCAAAGGCTGTTTGTAAAGATGGGTTATATGTTATTACCAAACATGCTGCAATTTGACATTTGAGTTCCTTCAGAGCTTTTCAGTAAAAACTGTCTAGTCCTGGTTACATACTAGTGTTTAGTAAAGACAAGAGTAAGATTATGATTACTTATACCCAAATATAATACATATATTACATAAAAAATGAAATCAGCAACACTAATACAGAACTACCAATGCAAATATATGATTTGCCTTGCTCTCCACCTTTACGTTGTGTATGTCCTTACTTGTCTAACCTTACCTCTTTTTTAATATAAACTCTTTGTATCCACCTGTGAACATCTGATATATTTTGATAGCCATATAAATAATAAACTAACTTTCTTTTTTCTCACTACAGCATGCAAAATTAAAGGAAGTCTAGTTTTCTTGGTTGACAGTAGCAGCATCCCAATGACGCAATTCAGTGAAATGCAGGATTTCATGAAAGAAGTTGTCAATTATGTCAACAGTTCTGAACATTTACGAGTTGGCCTTGCTCAGTACAGCAGTATATATAAGGAAGAACTCAAGCCGGATGACTCTGAAAACAAAATAGCAGTGCAGAATACAATTGAAAGGATGAAACGGGAGGTAGAAGATGAAATTAAACCGTATTTTGGAGCCGCACTTAAGAAAGTAAAGTATTACCTTGAATTGATAGGACATGAAAGCATACATGAGAATTTCACAAGGTTGCTGATAATCGCTGATGGAAACTCACGTGATGATGTCGCTGGTCCAGCACAAATTTTGAGAAATATAGGAATTAAAATCTATGCTATAGGCGTTGGACAGATAAATCACCCAGCGCTTACCCAAGTAGTTGGCACTTCAGACAAGTGGAAATACAGTGTTACTGATGTTAATCAGCTGAGAAGCCTCAAGAAAAGGTTAGCTGATGACTTCTGTGAAAAGGATAAAGCAAGTAAGTATGAATCAGGGGGAAACATGAATTTCACTTCCAACTTCTTGTCTGTGTTCCACCATTAAAATTAAATATCTTTTAAACTTCTTTTGCTTTCTAGTCTCACTGAGGAATTTTAAACAAGCAAGATTTGAATTTTTATCTCCTATTATTTCTAAGTTGTGTTAGTGAAACATTACTGATTGGGATACTTAGGTGTGGGCTTAGGATCCTAACGCCAAGCTCCTATTTTGAAAATGTTGGTTTGGTCATATATAAAAGTTCACAGTAAGTTCCATAAATGTCCTGAAAGTTTAAGGCAAGGATTTTTGTTGGTGATTGTTTTTATCAGACCATCTGTACGGTTGGCAGTACTAAATAGGCCTGTGCTAAGCAGTTGTATTTGCTTAGGATTTAGATTCAGGGGACAGTGATTCAATTCAGTGATTCGAATCACTGTCTGGAATCGATTCTGCTGAATCTGATTTGTAGATTCAGCTGCTGCCGAATCTCTGAATCACACAGGACCCATTCCCTGTCTGCCCTCCCTGCCCTGTCAATGGCTGCCCTGCCTGCCCCAGGTCCCAGCTCTTTAAATAAAAAGCCAGCACCCACTGTCTGTTGCCAGGTGGGGGGTGATCCTCGCTGTTCCCCACTGTCCCAAGCTGCATGGGGGGGATTCTGCCATGAGCGCCCCCACCCATGGCTGCCCTGCCTGCCCCAGCTCTAGCTCTTTAAAACAAAAAACAAAAATGGACTCACCAGCTGCTGCCAGGCCGGAGTGGGGGGACAATCCCTGCTGCCCCCCGCTGTGCCACACTGCATGGGGGGCCCTCCCATGAGCCCCCAGAAACCCCAAGGCAGCTGCGGGGGG